TATATCATATTTAGAGATTTAGACCTATTTGATTTAATAACTATATACTAATGAATATCGCAATTCATTTTTTGTGCGGATTGGGTTTTGAGTTATCTCTCAGATCCACCTCAAATTAATTTATCTATCGCATTACTTATTTATTATGACATTTTTAATCATTCATCAAATTAATTATGTCAATCAACTGTAACACATGTGACATTGAGTTAATTTGTATCGAATTATTGTCTGTGGGGCAAGATGCTTTGCATCTGATTTTCATTGTGAATTTGACCAATCTATAAGTCGTTGTTTGAGAACATTTTTAGCGAGCTAATTTATTGAAAATAACATCGTTGTTAATAGTATTTATAGCTTAGATAAGATGATACATGCCTACTATCACGAGCCTTATTGTAATACATACGATAGGTATCCGGTGATGAAGAAGGATCGGAGACGAATATATGATGTAATAAATGAATGATTCGAAAGTTAGCATGGTTGATTTGCATAATTAATATAGTCATAGTTCCGTAGTTTATTGAAGTTATTGCATGAACAATGTAGTCATAGTTTGTAATTGATTTGAGTAATCGATTGAGCGATTAACAAAGAGAAATATAGATAGCTCAAAGCATAATTAATAAAGAGCATCTTTGGCTCTCGTACAGTAAAACACACTTTATTAGTAGAACTATTCTTTATTGAAATCTGTCGCCACGCTTAACAAATAAATACATATTGTTATCTGGTGAAGTCACGTGCCACATGACTATGGTTATTCCAAATTAGGGTAACCTGGCCCACTCAAACTACATCGGCTACGTAGGCTACATCGGCTACATAGAGCACGAAGGCCATGTCGGGAAAGTATGAGTTAGGGGCGAAGTAGCAGTTGTAGCATACGTAGGAGACGTAGTATATATAGTAGTTGTAGCAGACGTAGAATAGCAAATGTAAATAAAAAATTACAATATAAATAAAGGCCGTGAAGGCCCTGAAAGGAGGAAGACATCCGTACTTTGCTTTATTGAAATAATAACTAACCCCCTTACATAGTAAATAAATAAAGGTTTCCCTTGACACATTAAATAATCACTAAGTTCCAAACAATAAAAACCCGATTCTTGTAATTATCTGGTTCTATCCCGTAGTATCGTTCTCTTCCATAGTATTGTTATCTACCCGTCCGGCTGTTGTATCCTAAAGTACCAGGATCAGCCGTAGTTATATCGTTCCAATTATCCCGAAGGACTGTGGATAGTTGTGGTTGTACGTTGGATCCAATTACCCGAAGTAGTGAGGTAATTGAGAATAAAGTTAGTAGAAAGTTCAAGATAGGAAAACACAAGACAAGAAGGAAGAATACTTACCTACGGTAACCAAACCACTGACCAAATCTAAACACCTCTTTTTGACCTAGCCAACCATAGGTTACACAAGAATTTGGATTGTGGAGCGACTGACTTGCCGTAACGCCGACTTCAATATCATTAAAACTCATTAACATCAAATAACGTAAACAAGAAAGTAACAGCCTAATAAATAATCGTACGTGCCCCTTTGACGCCCCAAAGCGAAGCTCTAACCCATCGGTCTAGACATTTAGAGGGAAGACCCACCTCTAATTAACTCCACGACACTACATACATACTTAAATGTTTTAAAATCTAACAAAGATCCTGATTCACAACAATCAAAGAAGCCTATAAAATCAAGTGCAACAGAAGATTGAGTGATCATGGTTCATATTAATTAATTTGTGAATGAATTGATCACCAAACTCGAAATTAGTTTCATACACTTATCTGATTTTTATATATTACGCTATATGTATAGAAAATCGGAAAGTCAGGCATGTAAGTGCCATTGTTCCACAATAAGACTCAATCCTTTGGATCATTATTCAATGTGTGTATAATAATAAATTTTTTAATATAATTCTAGCCACTTACCTCTCCTTTCGATTTCTATCCCATATGAAGTTTCGGACGTAATGTCCATCCTAGTTATTCAAAAAGAAAGTGGGTATGTATATGAAATTTTTTATTCTGGATCGCTTGGTCCGAGATGTGTCAAAAATCATACTTCTTTAGAATGTTATACCATGATTATCTGACGATTAATTTGGTTATGTCAGCTAATGATATACTAATCACTATTGAGTCGCGGTTGAGTTGCAGTATTTTTTTTTTCTATATAATTATATGAAAAACAGGTGTATTGCTGTAGAGTCATGGTTGAGTCACATTAGAAACTTAGTTATGTGGGCTGACGATCAATTACGCTTATTAATCACCGAAAGAAGAAATAGAAATGTCGAGTACTACGAAATCCCTGGAAGTAGTAGGGTGGATTTTTGGAATAATATTGCGGATATAATTAATAGGAGATTTAGTACCAACTATATGGGATATCAATGCAAGGGTAAATTTCAAAATCTTGTAAGGGATCACACTGTAAGTATTTCTACCGAAGGCACTTATTGACAGGTTGAACCATAATTAGGTTGTGATAGTGCCTAACGATTTTCTTGATCCTTGTTAGTTGATGTGCCAATATATGGCAGGAAATCATGCAGGGCATAGAACCAGAACCGGAGTACGATACTTTGAGGAATTCCGCTCACGTTTTTGAGAGAGACCGGGTAAGGTTCTACATTAATCTCGAACATTCGTCTGCCTTTGCTGTAGGTGTCTTTGAAATAGAAACAAATTATTAATTTGTTAATTATGAATAAAAAAAATCTAGAAACATAGTTTGATCAAATACATAACATAAACGCATTCTCGAGAAGAAGAGAAGAAAGACGGCGAAACCACACTCCACCACCAACCTACGAAGAAGTTTCATCAATGATAAATATGAGTCGTCGTGAATCTCCCACTAGTCAAAGGGATCGATCTGCATCCCCGACCTGGAGAAATCTCACCAGAAGAGACGAAACTACTAATCAAGATAATGTAAGTAATGTAAATGATGCAGATAGGAATTCAGGCCATAACACTAATGATGTAGCTAGAAATTTAGATAATGCGATATACTCATCTTTAACTAATTTGGCAAATACTACTTCAACCCCTAACATATCTGCATCACAAAATGATAGTGATATTAGTATGGCCGATGTAGGGGGTAGTCAACCATTGGAACCTATAAATGAGGTGGAAAGTTAGACCCTGTCTGCTATGCAGAATTTCGTCTAAAAAAGTAATAAATTTTACCGAATGTTTGGTTGTGTGGAGCTATTGCTTAAGGCACTTAAAAATTTTGAGTTAATAAAAATGCCGATATGCCTAAAAAATCGATTATGTAGCATAGATGTTCATTCAACATATTTACCCAGAAAAATTTCTGCTAAAAAGTAATGTGATACAAGTATTGTGAAACTGAATACGGGTAGATTGGAGAAAGTTAACTCAATAAAATAATTATACTATATGATTAAACATTCGGCCTATATTGGGGTAAATATTAGGGGGTATATGTGACAGTATAGTTTAGGCCAATCTGTTAGAGCTAGTAAACAAATAACGTTATTGCA